TTTTTCTACTTTTACTGGCATTTTAACATTATTTGAAATAATGTCATCTGCAAATTTGATTCAATCTGAATGCTAGAAGCACAAGGATAAAAAATTTATTGTATCAAGAAGATACAGAGAGAATCTTGTACCTCTCACATTTATTCTGGGGTTGCACAACAGAATAAAGAAGTTAAAAAGGAAAATATTTTCTAGATTTTATGTTCATCCATAGAATAGTTTTATATTATATTTGAAAGCACTGATTGTAATTCATTATTGACAGCAGTTTGAGATGCTACAAAATGTCAGTTATTTTAATAGTACTGTGACCTGCTTTAAAGGTCTGTATCTCTACAACTTGTGAGTGATTATGACAATTCATTGACAAAAAGACAGGTTACCACAGCAGGCACATGGAGCATAGATACAAGTGTAAAGAAAATGGTGCAGTCTTCTCAGAAAATAGAAGGATTTAAGTTTTTCTAAGGCTCTGATGCTTTATTTTCTGCCACAGTGCTGAAAAGGCTTTTTGCTGAAGACAGGGGAGTCAGGTGGTTTAGTAAGTCTACAGATCCAGATTCTAATCATATGTAGAGTTGGTTATACATCTCTTCCAAATCCACACTGATAAGCTCCAACAAACTTCTTTCAGGGATTAAAGCAGATTTTAGGATTACACATAGTGCAACTGTTTGAGAAAGAACATTGTAACTATGAGCAAGATATGAAAAGAGTGACAAAGAACTTTTTTGAAAGCTGTATTAGAATATTGCTTAAAATTCAGATAAATATTTACGAACAAAGTTCTGCCTAGAGGAAATCAAAGAGAAATAAAAGTAAGGAACTACTACAATAAGAATATCATCCTCTAAAGTATATAATGCTTTGTATAAATAAAAAAAAAAATGAAATGAAGGTACACATATCACCCCCAACCTGTTTTTTTAAAAAAATACAATGATTTTTTAGTTCTAAATTATACTGCCAGAAGAAATTGAAAGGAAAAGAAATCATAGAGGTCTCACTTTGTCTTAAATTATGCTAGCTGTCATAATTTACTGTATGTAGAAATAAATAATTGTTGCTGACAGTGTTGCACTCCCTCCGTGCCATTCAACAGTGACATTTGATTCTTATTTGAGTCCATTCTGGAAAGCCCCTCTGTTTGACCAGGTCAGTATGTAATATCAACTGAACAGTAGAGAATGCACATTTTTGCTTTCCTTGGAATTCTGAAATATATTCATGGAGTAATATACTTTTGTTAATGAAGTTTATCTGGAGCATAAGATTAAAGCTACAACTCTAATTACTATACACTAGTAACCATGAAGTATAGACTGAGTATTATCACCTATTGATGGATGAAATTTTCAGGTAGCTGGCACTTAAAGCTAATGCTACCTTTTGAATGTAAAAAGTGTGGGTTTCATCTTGTGATGAAAATTATCAGTTAGCAAGGAGGAGACCTCTGTAATCGTCCTGTTTTACTTGTTCTGCTGCTCTCGTGTTTTTGCCTTCTTCATGAAAGAGTTCATATGTAGTGCTTTGAGCAAAGAGTTACTCAATGTAATGGCCATGTTTTATTCATTTCACACTAGCAAAAACCTGTTCTGATTTGGTTTGTTAACAAGCTTGGTAATCTTAATTCTATCTGTTACACAACCCATGATTTCATGGTATTTCACTGCCTCATATCAGAGTATTGAATTTATGTTCAAAATGGGTTGGAGAACAGAAGAGGTAGAATTATCTTCATTTTTGTGACTGGAACACTGAGATGCATTATCTGACAAGTCAAAGACTGATTTGAATATATAGAAACTTAATTTTATAGTACTTAGCCCTTCAGTTTGGGCTACAGTATCTTCAAATGCAGCTGCAGGCATCCTGTAGTTCATCTGGCAGCCATCCTTGGTATTAATTGTACTTTCAGAAAATGAGGAACTCAAAACCTGCTGCATGAAAAAATAGGTGTAAATTATGTTATTCAACTGTTCTACTTTGTATCACAAAGTTTCTGCATGTCTGGACTCGGACAAACTCAGCTAGAGGAGAATCTTGAGGCAAGTAGTTCTCCATGTTCCTTTCTTTAAATGAACACACCAAAAGACATTAAAGGCTCTCAATCTTTAAAAATAGATTATTTAGAAAATACATAAACTAAAACATGGTAATACTTTTTGTAAAAAAAAAAATAAAAAATCAGATGTTCTCTGTTTCAAACATCAATATTACCTGAGAAGGCTTTAAACAATTCTCCTTTTTCTGCACTATCTCCTTTTTTCTAGCTTTGCTTTTGAATCAAAGAACTCCCTGTGCTCTGGGTCAGAAAATCCCATAGGTGCTCTCTAGATCTTTAAAAAATTATCTTGCACAAGTTTGGCTTTTGTTTCTATCTAACAGCAAACCCTTTGTTTCCAACAAAGTCTCAATCTCCCTTATCCTGTAGGCTACATTTCAGTGCCTGCCTCACATGGTATTTTTCAAGCTGACCAAATGCTCAGCCTTAGGTAGCAGTCTTCCCTGCCACTGTAAACATTCCTTTTAACTAGCAAGGCAGCAATATGGACAAGTAGCCTTTTTCCCTCTTGTTCTACCATCCCTTACAGACAGAATATATAATCATAGAATCGTTAAGATTGGAAAAGACTTTGAAGATCATCAGGTGCATTGAAGTGTGTCATAAAGTGTCACATCTACTCCAGAGATAGTGATTCCACCACTTCCATGGAGAATTTCTTGCAATATTTAACCACTCTTTCAGTAAACAAATTTTTCCTAATACCCAGCCTCAGTCTCTCAACATATGCAATGGCATACACATGCAATGGACTGTCAGATAATACAGTTCATCACAGAACTGTAGAAATCACAGTCTTCTAAGTGTTAAAGTGTTTCATCAACAAAATGTGAACAAAAATTTCTTTGGCTTTCATAGATAATTTGAAGGGTACAGAGTCACATTTTTTTCTCTTTCATGATTTGGTCATTAACCTTTCTGCCTTCTATCATTTCTCTCCTCCAGGTCATCTTATTTCACTCATTTCCTTTATTCTTTCATCTAGGCTCTCTCTGTCATCACTTAGGCTTCATACAAATACATGGACTCCTTGCCAGTCATCCCAATTTCTTTTGTTCTGTTTATTCTCAGATATTTCCTTGTCATTTCTGTTTACTATCACAAGTTTTTGCTTTCTGTCCACCTAATGACTTTTTCCCTTTCGGGTTTTAGTCTCATGTGCCTTCTAATAAAAAAGGACCTAAGAAGGTGAGTTTCCTGAATTTAGTACCAATATGGCTATCAGGAGTTCCAGGCAATAGTAGTTTTCTGAGGAAAGATTTGGTCAGTTCTGTATTGCTTATTGTTATCCATTCTGTAGCAAAAATGTTTTACAGTCATATACCTTGAACAGATTTGAAGATGTTAATGGGATAACAACAGATGCATTCTTGATAGACTTTGTAAAAATCTCTTTTCTGAAATGCGTAGAATTGCAAATTTTAATACAAGGAAACAGTATTTAATTTTGCCTAATTTTCTTTAGACACTTTCTTGGGACTAGCAGATATGTTTGATTGAACATTTACAGCAGAAATGCCAAAAAAAGGGCAAATAATTTCATCCTGAGTTGTTCACTTAGCATGGAAAATATGAGTTCAGACCATTTAACATATGCAAAGTTATAATTAACTTAAAATATGAACCACTGGATAACCTTAATAATAGGTGGTACCAACAGTCCTGCTTAAAATCTTTATGATGTTCTTGTTGTCATGGCAGCAATTGTTCCAACACAAATTCTTCTAGGACTGCATTCTTTGATAATAAGAATAATATACTTCATTTAAATGTACTTGTATATGGCTCAGTTTCTCAGGGTGAGAACACCAGTATTTCAGTTCTCACATCATCAGTGCCAAATATCTTAAAAATATGTATATTCTAGGCATAGACATATTATGGCTAGAATAAGGAGTAAGATTTGAATTATAAGATGGGAAGTCTCAACATAAAGTGACTGAAGTCTGTAATACAGACATATATATACATTATATTTTGGTAACATAGCAAGATTTTACAAAATGTAGTAGAAACAACTTTGTAGGTATAATTGCATTTCCTCTACACTATTGTTATGGTAAAGTATATTGATTACCATTAGATTCTGTCTAGAGACTGATGCAGACTGCTTCCTTCCCTTATTTTTGCACCTAAGTACATCTATTGTACATTTATATGTCTATGCTAAGGAACATTATTTCTTCTGGCATTTGGGAAAAAAAAATGCCTTTGAGGACTTTGGTTCTCCTAAAACTTCTTCGGTAATTGCATCAGAATTTTATTAAAGAGGGAAAATTTTTCTCAATAGATAAATAAAGAATAAAGAGAAACATGTAAAATTAATTTAAATAGAATAATACCTAAGATTTTTATTAGTTATTATTGCTTATGAAAAAACTTTGATTTATAGAACCACCTCTTCTTACTTTGAAATATAAATTCATTATCATCTAACTCTACATAATCAGAAAACAACTGAATACAGCAATGATACAGTTCCATTTTCTATTAATTTCTAATGTTTAACATTCCTTACACCATGCTACCAACAACAGAATACATCTTTACTTGCCAACAATTGAGAGGTAAAAGCAATAAAACCAATATATATATTGAATCCTTTGGCTCCAGAAATTTTCACTGGTTTTCAAATTTGCTGCACATTTTTAGACAAGATCTAGCATAATGTATATATGGCAACTTTTAGTTTTACTTATCAACAGGATGAAAAAAAGAAAAAATTCCCTCCCCCATCATTTGTTCAATGATGTCTTCTTTAAATGTTGTCTACTTTGCTGGTATTTCAATTTCTGTTACTGACAATTACTCTACCTGTGAGATATACCTTGTTCATTTTATAGCAAAATTGACTGCTATATTTTTTTAAAAAATTATAATTTTACATTTAAATACCTTCAAGAAGTGGTTTCTGAACCCTTGTCCACTTTTCCAGTGAGGGGCAGTGAATGACTGGCTATGTGTGGGACTGAACTGCCTGCTGAAGTAAATCCACAGCCACTTAGACAGGTAAGAATCTACATTAGTCTGCATTAGCTAATATTTTCTGTGCAGAAGTCTTTGGAAGTTGCTACTAAAGTTGAATACACTCATAGGCTGGATGCCAACAGAAGAACTTTAGGAGATAGGATTTCTGTGTGTATGCAGTGTATATAGTACAGTTCTCAAATTTTCCATTCCCATAACTGCATAGGTTAAGGCTGGAGGGGCCTTTGAAAGTAATATCCTCCAACCCCTCTACTCAGGTTAGATCACTGAAAGCTGATTTCTTAGGACCATGTTGAGACAGCTTTTGAATATCTCCAGGGATGGAGAGCCCAGAGCCTCTTTGGGCAACCTGTGCAAGTGCTGTGAGAGACTAAAGATTGGTCTCTCAAGATATTTTGGGGTGCATGTGTGGGGGAAGAGGCCAGTCAGGCCCTACACTGGCAAGGCAAGCGCCTTGCTCTGCAACCCCCATCCCTAGAACCTGTGTCCCAGCCCAGCAGTGCCTGTCAATCCCTGGCACAGCAGAGGCAGTGCTGCTTCTGGGACCCTTAACACAGCTCCTGAGTGGCCAAATGAGTGGAAATTCCACCTGAGGGATGGGGGTCAGGAAAGCCTGGGGGTATTTAAAGCTGAACACAAGGCAAGCGCATGTCTTTACACTACCTCCTCTTGGAACTTCTATCTGCTGAACACTGCTGGAGCCCATGAGTTGGTAGCTATTTGTGGCCTTTTCTATATAGTTTCTTTCTTTATCACCTCTTTTTTTTCATAAAATTCTCTCTTCTTGGAATTTTTGAGTAACTTACAATCAAATGGGCCTGGAGTTTGCCAAGTTGGGTAGTCTAAGTTAATCCTTTGAGAAGGGTTTTATGTTGATTGTATGCTGCTCTAAGACTGCCAAAATCCTCTATTTTCCAAGGTTGCCAGCAAAGTTCTTTCTGCCATTTTGATCTCTTGAAAATATCTTGTCAGTATTTCTCCCATGCATCTAACTCAGAGTACGTGAACACCCAAAAGCCATTTTAAGTCTTCTTGAGCAAATTTTTTACTTTACATGTGCTCACAGTATGAAATATGATACACAATACCAAATACAATAAAATAAGATGGAGTGTGGATCATATTTTCTGTTTTTGTCTGGGTTAATTTTCTTCATGGTATTTATTATGGGTCTGTGCTTTGGATATGTGCTGAAAAGAGTGATGCCTTTCAAAGTAGCACAGTATTGTTAGCTCTTATATATAAAGTCTCACAACACCCATTGGTTATAATGATTTTCTCTTTTTTTCCTTCTCCACACATATTTGCAAATTTTAACATGTTATGAGCAGCAACTGGCTCAGTCTCTAAACTCACTTAGGAGGTTGGTAAAGCATGTAAGAAAGAAAGAAGACCAAAATCACCAAGTAACAAGTTATCAATATAATAATTGATCAAATAAATTTCATTATAGTAGCAAGCTTCTGTTCTGTTTCCAGTTACTCAAATTTCTTCCAGTGTCTGCAAAAATGAAACTCAGATAGGTATATACTTAGTTTGCTGCAGCCTGAAGGTTTGCAGACAGGAACTTGTGCTGAGTCCAGAGTTCTTTATGTTTCTCAAAGGTTCTCTTATAGGAATGGAATGAAGTAGACAGGCAAGCTGAGTACTACTTGATTCCTGCTATAAAGAGGATTAAAAGTTAGGGTGGCCTCAAAAGCTAGTGCCACCAGCAAAGTAAAACTGAAAAAGGAGCAAAAAAAGCTGCAGTACAAATTGAAAAATCCACTGGATAATATTACTTTTGATACTAGAGTGTAGGTATCATACTTCATAAATTGCTCATTATTGCTGACTTCTAGTAGCAAGGTCACTGTAATGTACTCAGTTTCTGGCCACTTTATTCACTTCTAACAATGCTAGGAAAAAAAGTCTTAAATAAGCTGCTTTTGCAGCTGAAAAGCAAATTACCACAATATCAGCTAAAAAAGAAAAAAAAAAGTGAAGATTTCAATTCATTGGTACTGCAGTTTTATGCTCAAACAAATTTTGGGACTGAGGAACACTGTATATGAATTCAGAAACAACTTGAAAATAGATAGGGCAGATGTTACACTGACCTCTGCCCATTGGAATCTGATAGATAGTTTGGTTTATCTTTTTTTTTGGCAAATAATATCACCTCTAGGGAAATCATTATCAACAGTGCTTCTTTAGGCCATGTGTTGTCATGCATTTGATATCTGTATTTCTTTGGGAAAAAAAATATTTCATCTGGAAAACCAAAACTGATTGTGATACTGCTGCTGGCATATAACTATATAAAGAAATTAATTCATAAATGTGCATACATAAATGAAGATACAGTCCAACAATAAAAAATTACTTAGTAGATGTTTGATTTGCTATTTTTAAAATAACTTACCATCCTCCTTTTCATAATATTTTACTGACAGATCCAAATCATACTTCTAACACTTAAAAGAGAAATAAAAATGGATTGCTGTTGGAATGAAAAAATATCCTGTATATTCTTACCCCAGAATATCTTTGGACTTGTGAATTTGCATCTGAATTGAGTTCTTTTTGGTGGTTTCTCTACAGTTTTTTATTCTTAAACAAAATAGTGATAAAATAGAGGTCTCATGAGTTGTTTTTTTGGCTGGCTGATGTCAAAGCAGTGTGTGTTTCATTTAGAACACACAATAACAAAGCACTAGTGAAGACACATTTGCACAGCTTTGTGAAAGCCTTGAAAAGAATCTGTTCTACCTTTTCTGCCACAAACTAGTTTTCATCTTACCTATTTCATCTTAACTATGTTCATTTCTGGTGTATGATGAATGGAAGAATTTTATTTTTCTGTACTCTTAAAGATCCTTTAATTATTTAAATAATTAATTTTATTGTAAATAAAGAAATTATAGAGACAAATATACATCAGTAGGGAATATTTTATGTTTTGTGAATGAGAAGAGATTTAAGAGACTTTGACCTCCTATAAGGGAAAAAGTTTAACAAGAAGCCTAAGGAAAACTAAGGTTGTTTATGTAGAATGATGTCACTGATAAATGAAATCAAAAACTCCCCAAATATATAAATTGCCATCATTTCACTGTTCACTAAGAAAATTTAGTTCATAAACTATTGTGAACAAGACAGAATTTCTGTTATAATTTCTGCTTTTTAAAATTATATTTTTGTGGGTAAGAGGAAGATAAAATTTTAAAAATAGGTAAAAGAAATAGCTTGCTAAATTTGGTTAGCAAGTTTCATTTTTCTATTCCACAGAAAATACTAGGACTTGAAAAATTAATCTCCCTACACAAAAGCAGATTTTGTAATTAAACAAAATACATGTATATGTATATATATATATATATATATATATATATATATATATAGTATTATGCCATACAGTAGCATATTTTATGTCAGAAAATACTTTGGCTCACAATATTTTAAATTATATTTTATTATTTCCTTTCACAGTTTTCTATTTTATGGTAACTGAGCAGGATTTTCCAGTTAGTAGTCCCTAAACATACAGTAACCTAACTTTTTAAATGGATAAAACTAATTCAAGACTGCAAGTTATTAATGCCTTTAGCAACTTCCATTTATGAGGATTAGGTTTCTATTGCCATCATGGAAATAAATTTCAGTTTTTCTGGAAATCTTATACAATTTCTTCAATCTTGACTAATCTGAATAATGTGTTCTTAGAAAACATCATGACCTTCCTCCACATCATCTTTTTCATATCAGTATTGAGTGTATGTGAGTATAACAACCACATTCTTCATACACCATTTTGGAAATTCTAGTTATTAGCTTTTCTGTTATGGTGAAAACTGATAATTTATTCTTACACTTTATTTTCAATATATAAGTCTGTTTAGAATGCATTGCAGTGTTTTACCTTTCTCCACATGAGTAGGAAGTTTCTACAAAGGACTTGCCAATGATTTCTGGAAGGCCTAAAAAATTACATGAAAATTTCCCATTTATCCACTATTTTAGTAGATTAGAGGGGCTAGAATTTCCTTTGTAGTAGCCATGCTGTTATCTCCATCTCTGTTCTGATTTTCAGAACAATGCTAATAGTAGATTTCCTTATTCTGTGTTGACAGAGAAGCACCTTTAAAGAAAATATGTAGCTTCAGTTCAAAGACTAGCAATCTTACCTAGCAACTAATTTATTTGCATAGACTAACTGTTTGTTTTACCTAACAGTTTTACCTTACAGTTTGTGGTTATTTTGTGCAATGGTGATAACACAATAATTCTTAGATCTGGAAGCATTTTTCCTACAAGTGGTATGGGGTTTTTCTGGGGTTGGTTGGTTGTTTGGCTGTTTTTTATGCTGGGAGGGAGGGGGGAAACTGAACTGGAGTTACAACGTGAATATAACATATTCAGTTGGCTTTATGGATAAACCCCAAAAAATCAGAATGAATGAGAAATCTATTTTTATATCACAAGACAATTTTCAGAATTTAGGATGACTTTCAAATTTTTGAAAATGTGTCTCATTCTCAGTGTCTATTCAAAATTTGCTTTTTCATACCAGCCATTATCAGAAGATATAGCCTATATAGGCAACCAGTATGATGCAGTCTAGCTTTATTATTGTCTCTAATTTGTTTCTCTTCTTTGATGATACACATCATTTTTACACTCATTTTCACACTGATTGAATTCCAAAGAAGACAAATAATCTGATATTCAAAGTAAATTTAATTAATGGAGAGTTTCTAATTTTACCCTGATATTTGTATAGTTTCTTCAATGATAGTCAATAATATAAATTCTTCTCCATTAAGTGTAGTTTCATAGTTTTCCCAGGGTCCATCTATGTTGCAAAAGGGCTTATATTCACACCTTGAAATCTAGTAGCTAGAGAACCATCTAAGATATATTTGGTATTTGAGCTCACAGTAAAAGAAGACTGCATCTTAAATTAAACAGAATGCAAGAATTTTGTGCAATTCTTAGCACTCTCAAGGTGAAAGCTAACTTCTCATGACTTTGATGCATGTCACAGGATTTTCCTAGCTAATGAAGGAAGATCACTTAAAGAAAGCCTAGTAAATTAAAGGGACACTTCCAGACTCTGAAACTCTGCTGTTCATAATTTAAAATTGCTAGAAAAATCCCTAAAATACTTTTGCTTTGTAAAATGTAGCAGTCCTAGGCAGTCTGGAAACAAATGGAAGTCAGATGAAAATCCCTAAATGGAAGATACCTGTTTTGGAGTAACAAGGTTGAAAGTAACTATGTGAAAAATTTCCTTTGCTGGCCTCACTATCAGAAAATGATCCCATGTTTTTCATGGTAGTGTGGATATAAATTCACCTCTGTGTCTTTTAAATACCAGGAAGCAGCCTGTTTCTTGCACTGTCAAAAATGTTCCATTTAACTCAATTTTAGGATTGTCTGCTCAAAGGAAAAGAATTTTTAAGAATTAGCCGATGCACATTTAACCATATAAACCACTTGAATAAATATGAATGCATAATATTCTTCCCCTCAAGTTTTGTATGATAAATTGGTGTGTATTTCATTTGACTTGGAGAAGAAAACTATATGAATACTTCAACCTTTGTAAATGTTTCCCAATCTCAATGTCTTTGTAATTAATTTCTCACTCTGGAAATTATTTGGGTTAATAATAGTTTTTTCTCCCTTTGCACTTTATTTATTATTCTTTTATCCAAATAAGAGGGTGTTATCTATATTTCCAACAAGCCACATTTTTCTACTTTTTTATTTGAAAATACTAATTGCAATCTTAATTTGAGATTTATGGCAGGTGTTTAATAACTGTTTATCCTTAGCTGAGCTATTAAGTTAAAAAGTCACTGTGAGAAACAGAGTTGTTCCTCACTAGGAAATGCTCAAGGTTTTTGCCACATGTGTATTTCATAGCTCAGTGTTAACATAGATCTGTAAACCACATTTCTATCAGTGCATGGGTAAGTAAACAATATAATATACCTCAGAAAATACCAGAGGTAATGGTAATCATGATATTGGCAGAATAAATGATTGAAGGAATTTAACTTGTTTTGAGTGACATGATTAAGACCTAGTACTTTCTTTAACTAATCATCTCTAGTAGAAGAGAATTTTTTATTTTTCTTTACGTGCTTCCTAGATACCTAGCTGCAATTAAATTTTTAATAAACAGTTTTTATATTTATATCTGTTTGTGTGCTTATGTACCATTCTTGTTATATGAATCAAGCCATATGAAAAATTGTATTAGTTCTCTCTAATGTCTCCATAAAGTGAAACAAATGGTTCTTAATAATAGTAACTACTGAATATTTCTTTAATTTTCTCTCCTGAAAAAAAAAAAATCAAAATCATTTGCAAAGGGAAAAAAAGTTTTCTCTCTTTAATCTCTGATACATAATTCTGTACATTATTAAATAAAATAGGATTGACACTACTTATCTGACCAAGTAAAACTTGCTGTTGATTGAGTAGGGCATTACACATTTGGATTACAACTAATTACTTTATGTATATATCTCTACCTACCTTCTGCTTTTATAGAGCTTAGAACACCTTAACTGTAAGAGATGCAATTTAATTTTATTAGCAGAATTCTCTTCAAAGTATATGTCTAACCACCTGTTTTAAGTGGACTTCACCCATTTTTATCTGTTTTGTGTTGAGTAAACACTGATTGGCCCACAGCAGAAGGCAAAAAGTGACTTTGATTCTGTAGACTTGTTTTTAGACTATTTTCTAGCTAAGAAAATTCAAAGTGGCTGGGAGAATGAAAAAATAACACAAAAAGTCAAATAGTTGATGCAGCTTTCTAACAATTGGTTTATTAAATAAGTAGGGATAAAATAGTCACCAAAGCACTGACTAGCTTCCCCAAATAAGAGGAAACCTACTCTATTTGATAGATAAATATGTAAGCATGCAAACTTTTTGAAAAACAGTTTGTGGTTTGATGTTCCAATTCTGTTTAAATTGCACTCTGTGTAACTAGATCTCTAATATATTTTATGTATCTCTATCTAATTTTTCAAAAATTCAGCACTGATTACAGCATATATACCTGCATTTACTTGCTAAGTTTTCTTGCATTTACTTTTAAATTATCTAATTGGGACATTTTATAAGTTAAAAACCCAATATATCAGTAAGAAAAAGACAATATGTGATGATTATTGTTTTAGTGTCTAATACATTCTGTGCTTCTGTTTTACAATCTAGTATTTTTCATAAATTGTATTTATTAAATAGCATGCTCAATATATTTTACAGTCACACTGACATTGCCATTTAAAGTTTAGATAAACTCTATCAGTTACTGCAAACATCTTCAAGGAATGGTTGAGCAGCTGATAGTAATTTTTTATGCATGAACTGACCATTAATTAGACAGATTCTTCACTCATGGGAGACAGGGCTAGTTAATTTGTAAGAGTAATTATTCTGTCTTTGGACTGGGAGAGTTAATCTCTTTACAATTTTTCAAATGTTGTTAAACTGTTATACAACCCAAAATTTAGCAATTAGTATACTGTGTGAAGTAAGAGGTCCATACCATTACATATATCTCTGTATGAGAAGAAACATACAGTCTCTTTGAATTAATCAAATGAGCTAACAAATTACAGTGGATAATTACAGGCATCTAGAGATGTGAAACTGCTAGCAATCAGACACTTGTAATGCTAAGAGAATAATTACATCTTGCGGTTTGCCTTGGAAAAGATTAAAATATTCCACCAATCTGTAGTATTTTGAATTATTTTACTGCTCGTTAATGATCATCTGGAAGCAAGGGAAATAAAATATTTTATTAGTCTTTCTAGAAGACTACAAAGTACTTTCAAACAAGGTATCACTTAGTGAAGTACAAAGTACTTTCAAACAAGGTATCACTTAGTGAATATGACAAAAAAATTAAAAATGTGAAAGTAGATGGAAATGAAAGAACACTCTCTTAGCTTCAACTTTTACCTTAAACTTTTTTTATAGAGGGTTTGTGATAAAAAGTGGTGACCTTGGACTTAACCCACCTAGATGATCAAGGGAAGCCAGCTAATATAATCTTTTTGTATTTCAGTAAAGCTTTTTATCTCTCATAGGATCCTTCAGAACAAAATGTCGAGCACAGCTGGATAAACACATCATGTGATGGGTGAGCAGCTGGCTCACAGGCTGGGCACAAAGGGTTACAGTGAATGGGGTGACATCAGAGAGGTGACCTGCCACCAGTGGGGTTCCAGAGCTCCATCCTTGGCCCTGTGCTCTTTAACATCTTCATAAATGAGTTTGATGCATCACATGGCTGGGAGGGATACTGGGCAAGTTTGCAGATGATGCAAAGCTGGGAGGAGCTGTTGACTCCCTCAAAGGCAGGGAGACCCTGCAGAGAGTCCTCAACAAATCAGGGGTGGAGCAATCACCAGCCATGTGCAGTTCAACAAGAGGAAGCGCCACATTCTGCACCTAGGATGGGGAAAGCATGGATGTATGGACAGACTGGGGATTGAGATGCTGGAAAGCAGTGCAGCAGAAAGGGATGTGGGGATCCTGATTGACAAAAAGCTGAGCATGAGTCAGCAGTGCCCTGGAAGACAAGAGGGCCACCCATGTCCTGGGGTGCTTCAGGCAGACCATCACCAACCAGTCAAGGGGATATTAGTAGTCTCCCCCTATCAATTCTGGATCAATTTTGGGTCCAGTCTGATGATTCCTGAAGACCCTACCACAGAACACAACTAAGCCCATCAGTTAAACTGATGGTGTCTCTAGGAAAACATATTTAAGAATGGAAAAAGAATTCCAAACAGGCAGAAAGAACACAGAGTGAGAAACAGCAGAGAGAACACCACAGCCACAGTAAGAGGCTTTCCAGGCACTGAAGAAGGTATTTAACCTGCAGTCCATGAAGAATCCCCATGAGACTAAAAAAAAGTGTGAGACAGAGGAACAGAGACAAACCACTGTGCAATGACTGTAAACACTCCCCAAATATTTTCACCACTGACTCATTGAAGGGTTGAAGTAATTGAGGCAACCTTTGGCAATTAAGAGGAGAGGGAGGAGATGAGGTGTGAGAAAGCTCTGCATCTTTTACATTTCTTTAATGACTGAAACAAAAATCAGTTAATTTGAAGAAATATTAAAATAAAAAACATTCCTGATATTCTGATGGTAATTCCATAAACCTTACCTTTCCCCTTAGGCCTAAAATATCTGTCAGATATTTTCTATTTCTGAACTCATGCCACTGAGGGAATTTCTAAAACTCCTTTGTTTATGTTTTAAAAAATGCTCCCAACTATATTTTCTTGACTACAAGATGTAGTCACCTTATTCTGGGCTTTCTTTGGGAGTATCTATATAACATTGCTGTGTAGTCTCATTTCAGGTTTCTGCTGGCCTAAGATAAGACTGGCCTAAGACTGATAGTCAGAATGTTCCTCTGGGAAATGAAAAGTGAAGAAAATAGATTAATAACCATCTAAAAAGAAGCTTATATACCAAACAGTCTGCAACATCTATGAAAGTTGCTGAGCATGGTTCTTATGAAAGAATGATTCTAGACTTGAAATGTCACTAGGTACTGGTTGGCCACCTTTAGAAAAATAAGACTAATTTTGGACTTCATCACCTAACATATAGGGGGTTTTTAATTCTGTGTTTGTAAGTAAAATAGATTTTTGTGGCAATGTGGCTGACAGAAAATGAGTACTTTGAGAAAATTTAAGACATCAAAAATTGTCAGTTTGTATACTCACCCACAGTTTTCAAGGTTTATCAGCCTTTTCAATCAAAGTTGCCAAGCCATAATAAAATATTCAATGAACATTCCTACTATGGTAATTCTCTGTTACATCACAAAGTGGATCATTCTTGTAAATATGTGGTACCTAAAATTCAAATACAGTCTGGATGAAGACATCTTTTTTCTGATAAGAAAAACAGAAAATTAACAAAAATTGATATCAAACTGTCTGCGGAGTCTGTGAGAATCCATAGGAAAGACATCTGAGGACATATTTTCTTCAGTCTAGTAAATACATGCACTATATACTTCTTTGTTTGTATTTGTATGCATTTTAATTTTGCCTGGAAAGAGCAAGATTGATACCATTCCTTCTTTGTCTGTTTTTGGAGGAATGTAAACCTATATCTACTGTTTTTGAAGTGAACCCATTGTTCTGTATTATATTGATTTTAGACATATTTCTAAAGCTAAGTATTTTTATTGAGCTAATTTCAAAAGGAAATGAGCTTTGTTTAGAATGTCTTAGCTTTTGTGTTATTTATAGGCATTCAATTATCTCTAAGTGAAGCAAAAAATATATTCCATATCCTAGGTGTTTAGGATACAGAATATGTGGAGCTTTAGCTCTCTTACCTCAGAAATATTTTTTTACTGTGAGCAGTGAATGGAAAAATGAGCCATCTTGGGCCAGGGACAGGATTTGGATTTTTGATTTGTATTTTTTTGTGTGTAATAAATTAGGTAGTTTTCTAAAGAGCATATATGAATTTTGTTTTCCAAGTAAACTCGGCCTTAACTCAGCTAACTCAGAGCAAAGAATTCTGCCATGTAGTGATGCATGGGAGCCAAAGTGTCAATGTTTAATTCCTACACTCTTTCACCTATTTTGGGGCTCTACCAGCTGAATACAAACTTACACATTTAGTTAATCAGTGTTTCAGATCTCCATTAGTTTAAATCCTCTTAATGGCTCAGTATAGGAGGTATTCTTATGTCTGTATTCTTCTCTGTCTGATAACAGAGAACATTAACTTTGGAAGTGTATTTGTGACTGTTCTCTTTAAAAATATTTTTTGTTTTAGAAGATTATTTTATAATGTAGTTCCTTGAATGAAGACTGATTTATTACATGGATTGATAGAAAACTCTCAAAATATGCTATTGACAGACAACTGATCTTTTCAGAGTGAGGGAATTCAGACACCCAGATTCACTTTCATCCCAAACTTAATGCTTTAATCAACAGCCTGTACTGTGGGACAACTATGAAAGGGAAGAAGCAGGACATATATGAAAAGGAGGGTGGTTTCCAACTCCTGTTTAATCTGTCACTACATAGTTAAGAATATAAGATTTATGGGGAAAGAATAAGAGGGAAAGTGAGAAAAAACCAGAATAAATGTAAGTATGATAATGAAAACTAGTGGCTAGAATATTTTGGCAGGATGGAAAAATGAGTTTTTCTCTCTGCTGCTAAGAGTCTTTCTGAATTTTATTTAATTACTGGTATTAATAAAATAATACCAGGAAAAGATTTTTTCACTGAGTTCTGAGTAATGTGACTGAATTTTTGAATAATAAAACATACCTCCATTTTCCTTTTTCTACATAAAGTGGATGCCTTTTCACGCTTACCTCCTATTGATTCAAGACAACTCTCTCTGTGAGGAATTTGCAGATTGGTTTCTAAATGATCACATTTTGAACTAACACATTTTCCTGAATGCTATTTGCTTGTTTGAAGTGGTTCTCTGAGACGCCAGCTTTTTATCAGTTTGTCTAAGTATAATTCTCTGAAAAATTTTCATGCCAAACAGAAATAGGGCCCTACCTCTAGCAAAGATGGGTCAAAGAAGATCACTGATCATATGCTACTAAAGAACCAGTGCCTACATTTCTGTGGATGGATCCAGAATTTGAACTGTATCTAATATTTCAGGTGATGAATAGTCCTGATGGATAGATTTTCAGTATGAGATGAAGTTGTTAGCTTTATGCCTCTGGCTAAATCCACAGAATGACCACCTTCTGGAAAGTAATTACCGAGACATCATGTGTAGAACAAATGTCTTCATTAGAAGAGCAATTCTTTATTAATAGCCCAGCTTTGTTACTGAGTTGGCCTTTACTCAATAAAGTGATTGAAGAGAAAGACTCTACTTAAAGTGAAAATTAGTCTGGCCTACCTTGTGGCCATTAGCAAAATAGGTTGTTCTCTTCTAATCAACTGTGTCTGTCTTTCACATTGTTAAAGAGAAAACCTTACCATACAAAACCAAATAAAACAATGATAAAATTTATCCTCACTGAGGAAATACCCATATGTTAATAAAAAGATTGAAAGAAAAATTACAATTGAAAAATAAAACAGATTTTTCTTCAGGGATATTACCTCTGTTCCAGAAGAATGACTAGGATAAATACTTGAGTAATACAGAAGTGAAAGGGAGTTGTACTAGACATACCACATTCATTTTGGAGGTTACTTTGTAGTTAGTGAAAGACAGGTATAATCACAAAAGATGCTAGTGAACCATTTAATCCATACATCATTTACTCTGCTTTTTATAAGATCAATTTAAAACTATTTGAAGAATTTTAGATTCATGTGGCTATTTTTTTCCTATTTCTCCTTTGTTATTTTGGCATTAGACTACTTAAAATCACTTGGTGAAAAAGATGAACAGAGTCTTGGATTGTAATATGACAGCAAGGTGCATAGGCCACTGCTGATGTTGTCTAGAGCAAATGTTTAGTTGTTAAAAATCAAGGTCTATACAGATATTCCACTTTGGATTAAACTGAAGCCAATGGCTGCTCCCATTAGCTACTGCTTATCTGCTGAAATATGCTAAGTAGTCATTTGAAGGTTTTTCAGACCTTTTCAGTGCAAAGTAAAAACCTTTAGTGGGGACCCAACTTAGATGCTTCTACACAAATGGATGTAACATGGGGAAACTCAAAATGGGACACATGATAAAGTGTTTGAAGAGTATTTGGAGAAAGAATGAGGGAAATTAGTGAAACGGGAAATTTTTGGGAACATGTAAAGAGGTGAATCCCTGAAAGATGGTGCTTTGTGATGGACAAGGGACACCCCTGACAGATTGCATCCTTTGTGTTGCCTGTGCTGGGGCAGGGACACCTCTGAAGGGACTGTGGCCCAGAGGTAGCCCATGCCAGAGCAGGGAAGCAGTATGAAGCAAGAAGTAGCTGCAGAAAGAAATCTCTGTGTACTGTTCCCAACCTTCTGCACTGCCTGTTTCCTCATCAAAAGGGTTTGGAGGAACTGAGTGTAGTGTATGGTGAAAAAAAGAATAGTTGAGACAAGGAAAGGGAAAGAGCTGCACTGAAGCTGAGTCTGGACAAGAGGAAGAGAAGGCATTTCCCCAAATATTTCATTAGTCACTACCTTAACAAATAATTAGCAAGAAATTTATTTAAATGAAATTTAATGAGCTGAGATTTTTTTATCTTGTTACAGCCAGCCATGGTGACCAGAGCCAGAAACAGGCTGATGTCCCCAGAGGTTGATGGTGGCAGGGAGGGATGGCGCAATGTCAGGCACAGACCTGGAGTTGCTGGACAGGACAGGGAGTGGAGGAAAAACCAAGGGCAGGCTGGTACATCAGTATGCAGGCTGGACATGTCTCAGGTATCAGGGCAGTGGTGGAGCTGTCAGTTTTGTCCATCCTTTGCCAGGTGAGGGGAAATTTACTGAAACCAATGAGAAGGAGAGGGCTGTTATTGGAAAACACAGAAAATAATCCCTAAATGGATATCAACACTGAAGACGAAGGGACATGCTCTTCAGGATGTCAGTAATTTCCTTATTACAACTACTCTCTGTTTGAGGAAGACTGGTGACACTGACCTTAGGACCTAGATGGACTTTATAGGGATAAGCATAAGAAAGGAGAAAAGATATTTTAATTTTTCTTGTACAGCAACAAGAATACAATACTATTACTAATGAGGTTTTCAATATTCATCCAGATTATGATTGCTGGTATAATTGTTGCTTGCTTTAGCCTGATTATATTGCTCAGTTTTTATAAACAAAAATTCTTGGCTATATGTATTTGTATTTAAAATATTTATGATGCATTTCCTTTTAGCCATACTAAGATTTTGATCTTTGGGATGTTTTTGCTATACTTTTGATCTTGTTTCCATCCTCTTTTCAATTGTTATTTTATTCTGAGAAGAATGAAACAGAATTTTACATAGTACTGAAAATACAGAATAATATTCAGTTTGTACATGTAAAAAGTACAACTCTTTTTTTTTTTTTTTCCACTAATTTCTAATATCCTGATTTGCTTTTATGGACACTCCTGAATATCAAGTTAATGATTTTTGTGATAACTGCTTTTGTAACCCCTAACCATGCTTCTGAGGGGTTGATTGTCAGCTCAGAGCTGTTCATTTTTTATGAGAAGTTAGAATGGTTTATTAAATTTTTTATTACAATTGTAAAGACAATTGTTATTGCCTTTAATCTTATCTTTATTCATATTGAAAGTCATCTGCCATTTCAGCAGCTAATCTGCTAGTTACTTGTTCCTTCTGCAATTACTTCAAACTAGACTTTATCCTTACTATCTAGAATAAACTCCTGCCACCAACAAACTTTGTCACTTGGTTACATTTTCTAAACTGTATATTGATAATTTCAGAAGCCATGTCAGTGTAACTCATCACCAATTACTCAGTTATTGGTGGTCACCAGTAGCTGACCTCTCTTTCCTGAGATCTGACTTTTTTACCTTCATTTCCTCTCTTTCTCTAAATAATTTGACATTGCAAAGCTCTTTTATGCCATAGCTGATAAGTTTCTTTAAAAGCATTTAGCAAGAACCTTTTCAAACCTTTGGAAACCCAAGAAGGTTTTATCCATTAGATTTACCTTTATCTTATGGTATATTTGAGAAATCAATGTGATTTTCACAGATGTTCACAAAAACCCGTAAGTGACTCATGAAATTTTCTGATGATAGAAAATTGGAAGCTAATAACAATACAGAAGTAGTTCAGAATAGAAGGAATTAGATGATCTTAGAAATGGATTGAAATATGGGTGATCATCCATTTATATATTAAAAAAATTTTGTTTTAAATTGGATTTTTTTGTACTTCAAAAGATCCAAAGTCAAAGAAATTAACATTCTGAGCAATTACAGAATGATAGAGTATTTATGGCAGAATGGGAAGAGGTGAGGGGTTGGACATATCACAGGCTCTGTCAGGAAATTATTTCTGTTACAGAAAATGAAATACCAATAACATTTGATAAGTATTGCAAAAATCCTATATTGAATCTTATATATAGTTCTGGACATAATTTTTTGTTAAAGTTGAGATGACCAGAAGGATGAAAACTTTATTTTATTGAAGGCAACTTATTGAGCACAGAAAGCTTTGTAAGGTAAAATCTGGGAGAGGATATATTTTGCCTTCCAGAAATAAATACCAGAGAAAAGGATGATTTAAGCTAAAATGCATTTGCGCAAGAGCAAACAGGTATAAACTTTCTGTGATCAAATGCAGCATACATGTTTAGGGAATATTTCTAAGTATGGGAGAAATTAATATTGAAAAAAATACTGTGAATGGGATTATTTAGTGAAGTTTTTTGCAACAGCAGGGCACATAGTCTATTACAAAAAAGTGTCTGCAGCAGAAAGATATCTGTGATCTTTGAGTGCATGAGTGAAGTAGAACTATATTGTCTTTCTTCTTCCTCCCCCACCCCCTTCTTTTTTTTTTTTTTTTTTTTTTTTATTTCTCATAAAGGTTTACATATATTTACTTAAGCGTATACTTTTGGTTCAATTAAGCATAATTATATAGAAACCTTGGGTGTCCCATATTGTGATTCAGCTTTGGAGTTTGTTTTACAACTCTGAAATCATAGTTTACTGAGATGCCCTGAAGTGAGAGGAGAGAATGAGAAAGGAGCTCAGCAGACCATTAACATGTGAAGGTAAGTATCTAGCTGTAGGGAACATTTTCTATATTTCATTGTTATTAATAAGATGATCAGAATTTGAATTAGGCTATGGAAAATATAGAAAATTTAAATACTAAAGAAAGCAGAAATACAAATATATTCATAATCAGGTGGAGAGTATAAAACCTACCAGGAATAGCATAAATAAAGTTTATTTAAACTAGAGAAGTAAGAATATTGTTGATTAAAAAAAAAAAAAGTATTTTCTTTTAGTTGCTCATATGAATATAGTTATACTGTACTTGCAGAGAAATTTTGATTCAGGATAGTTAGTAGTTACCAGTTATAATATAGTCACGGTTACCAGTTATAATATAGTCATCATAATGCTAAAATATTCAACTTTTTTCGAGACAATACGACAATACTTCAGCCTTTGCATATAGTTTATTATATTTGCATGTTTAAAGGGTTTAGTTGTACATTGCTGAGGATACCACTTAGAAGTCACTCTCAAATCTGAGATTTTATGTGGACAAAGAATTTGATAAGTGGAATTTGACACAAAGTGGCACCTTGCTCTTACAAAATATACAGAGTAGAGAAGGAATATTAGTCATGTGAAGTAGTAACAGGGAAAGAGCATTTGATCTTATACCCTCTGCCATAAATGTAGAAAAGAAAAAATGTGAATCGAACAGTGACTTTTCTCCTTGTTGCCCTTCATGTCACCTCTTTCTTGTGAACTTTGATGTTTAGCATTTTTCCAAGAAGACTGAGTTATAAGGGTTTTCCAGAACTTTATGGTCAACATAAAGTAAATAAAACCTGAATTTTTCTGTCTCCTTCCTCTTCTGACTCAAATGTTGTTAGTCATGCTCTGCCTTTCAGTGAGAGCAGTGGCAAAAAAAGCACCATGCAGAACAGGAATGTAATGATCTAGTCTGACTGGCACATTCCAACAGGATGTGCTGACACCTTTGCCATTTTAATGTATGTCCTTCATAGCTTTCCTTTTAGAATTGTTTCATTTTTAATTTAAAAATCCTCATACCCATTTTTCCACATTAAAGTTTCCATTTCAAGGATGCATTTGTGTGGGTATCCAACAGATGTCTAATGTTTCTAAAATTCCTTAAAATTATTGAAACATTAAAATACCACTGCACTTGAGAAAATATTTTAGCCAGAATGATCATTGCTAAAGCACTAAGGATAGTATGTCATTTAATAGAATTTAGAAGAGAACAACATGAGGGACAAGTATTTGTGAGTCTTGCCTTTTCTTAATTGATGTGTACAATGACAAAGTTCAGGATGCAACTATTTTTTGTTAATCATAAAAAAGATTTTTAAAGGAGAAGTGAATGCTCTTATCCATAGGAGGGGAGGAAAAGTGTTCCCTCAGATCCAATTCACCAGTGAATTCTTGTTGCATTACTCTCATTAATACTTATACGATGGTGCTACCATAAAATAGAGACCCGCTAGACATGCATTGTATAAAAAAAGAGAAAAATTAGTCCCAGACTAAGTGCCTATAAATAGGATACAAGAAAAGTTTTGCTCATAATTCTTCTTTAGCTTGGCAATGATTTAACTATTTTCACTAATTCTCATGTAGCTGGGAGAAAATATGTGAATACTGAACATATATGCAGTCTGAATCAGTCAACTCTCTTGCGTTCTTACAACATAAATGACAGAGGGCTGTGAGAAGGAAAATTTTTGTATGGTGATTGTTACAACTTAGTGGACCTTGTCAGTTTGTAGTGCTGTAGCTGAGAAAGGGTGTATCTGAATTTAAAGTATGAGGTTTTGAAATTTTCTAAGATGTCTGAAAAGTCAATGTGTTTCTTCAAGCAGATGGTGAAGATGGTTATCTTTGGACTAAGCAGAAAAAAAATTAATTTAAATTTTCTCCAGTTTTATATTTTTGTGGAGCATTTTGTGAGCTAAAGACTGTGGTGGCCCCTATCTAAATAGTCAAGTTCTTATCATTGCTTTATTGAAAATTCTTTTGTTCTACAGGACAGGCTTCTTTGACAAGAAAGGTCTTGTCCAAATGGTTGTCTGAAATACCCTGACTTTTTCAAGGATTTTGGCCCCTTTCATGTCTGGCCCTTGTCTACCTCTTTGGAAAATAATTATAATAAATTGTGGTTTTTATTTAGGAATAGAAGTACAAGAACTACAATCTGAATATTTTATAATTTATATTTTATATTTTATAAATTATATTTTATAATTTTATAATTTATAATTTATATTTTATTTGTATTAAAAGGACAATCAATTTCAAGCAGATAGGTTAGGGATCAAAGTCTGCTTTTATTGCAACTGTGCCTAAATGAACAGCTTCAAACTTCTGTCAGCCCTTACTTGGTATAATGCCAAGAAAGACTACTGAGAAGATCAGCAATGCATTTAGGTAATTTAGGCTCCTAGACTCAGAAAAAGTTATCATTTTACTACCTGTGTGTGTCTACTCCCTTTCAATATTTCTTGTTTTCATTTTAGTATGGAATATTCTCTTTTACAGTCAGTAGAGTGTAGAAAATTCAGTCAGCAGTCTTTTTCTGATCCCTGGAGCTCATGGCACACAGGAGGAGTAATCTGAAAATCCTGTTCCTACTGAAATTCATTTAAGTGAAAAACACTCAATATCTTGTGTGATCATGACTTTTGTATAATGTATTGTCAACAGCAACTTGAATGGGAATGTAGCATATTTTCACATGTAATTTGTATCTTGTCTCCTTTTTTCTGGATAATCTGGATCACATAGAGGAAAATCATTTTTTCTTTGAGAGGCAGGGGGTTACAGTTCCTGCTGAGTTTACAACTAATGGGTGTTGTAAGATAGTGCCTTAGAGCATGATAGTGCTGATTAGAAATATCTTACCTTTGAGAAGAGGAAGGACTCCCACATTCCACTGACTTTCAAACTCAGCAGGAACATAGAGCCAGGAGCTATGGTTTCTTTCATATTTACCTCTGTCTTTGTCCTCATTTAATAACACCTTCATTCCACACAGAGAAGAATCCTTTTAGGTTTTCTGAGCTATTACCATAAAGATTGAAGAAAATCCGAGGAAGAGTTTGTGAAAAATAATTTGGCATGACTACATCAAAGTGAAATGAATTATGAAAAGTTTCAGCTATTAAAAATAAAGTGAAAAGAAATATAGTGATGATGAATCAGGGTTGGAAAGACAGGAGGAAGTGTCATTAAGATAAAACTAGTGACTTCCTCACAAGGAAACAGCACTAACGAAAGGGATGGTTACACCTCCTCCACTCCCCATGTTTTGCCTATGGGCCTCTTGTGTCAACACTCATGACCCTGTGTCTGTGCAGTAGGAGGGATAAGCAAACTGATGTAGCTAAAAATTAATCTGTGATTATGTTGGTTTAACAATCAGAACATAAGCAGTAGCTCATAGAGGTCTAACAAAGTGCATGAGGAAAATTTCAGCAGTGGTAGATCTCAGTCATTGCCCTTCAATCAGTAAGGAAGGCAGCTGCTCAGAATTAATGGTAGAAATTGAACTTAAGCAAATTATGAAAAGTTTTGACAATTGAATCTGGACAGCATAGTTAAAACAGAGCTGTGTGTTTTCAATCTGAAGAAAAGAATGGTAGAGACAGTTGTAATGACTATCTAAATGTAAAGGGACAAAATAAAGGTGAAAGGATCAATTATTTTCAATAGCCAACAAGTACAGGATGAGCAGTAATGAAAAAAGAAATAGTAGTAACCCTTTATGACATTTGATGTGTTCAAAATCCAGGAAGAACTAATTTTCACAATATTTCTGTGTATTTAGTGAATATTATCAATACATTTTATGAAGATACTAAGGTAAAAAGCTTTTCTGCCTTTCCCTAATTCAATCAATGTAAAACTTAGACTAATATTGGAAAAGATTTGTATTTGTTTTCATTATGAATATATCAGGATTGAATCCAAAAAGGGACTGACCATTCTTGAATGTTGAATTAAACACCTACACTCCATGTATAGTGAAAGGAAAACAAGTACTTCACAATGAATTCCACAGAAAAGAAAATAAAAAGCCTACTTTCTAGAAAAAAAAAAAAAAACAAACCAAAAAAACAACAAAATAAGGTTGCCTAGAGTTATAGTCCATAGAAATATTTCATCTCTCTTACAGACACAGTAGCTTTACTGGGACTGCTCAAAGACAGCATCTTAGGTTGGCAGGACAGAGTCTTTCCCTAAAGGTAAATCCTTGGGAATTTAATCTTAAGGACTGAAGTCCTTCAATTTAAATTTATTCTTCAAAAAATATATAATATTTTTCAGGAGAGAAAAAAAGAGGTTTTTTTGTGGAGGTTTACAAACAGGAAAAAATATGCAAAATACATTTTGGGATAATCATATTATAGGTCATATATGTTTATATGCAGAGATATTTTCATACTTGAACTGAAAGTTTGCCTCAAAAAAGGTTAAAATCTTTTAATTGCCTTCAAAAGTGCTATAAGTTAATTTTCATATATTATTGTAGTAATCAGTCTAAATAATGTCATTAAAGCCCTCTTTTAGGGCATCTGTGTATGGTCCACAGAAGTGTGTTAGAGGCTTTAGAGTCATGCAAGAATATGAGCTGCTACTTTGAAGTGATTTCAGTTTAAGTAGACAGTTTGCATAAGGAAGGGAAAAAGAAATTTAAAAATTAGAATTATTAGGATAGAATTATTTTCCTCTTTCCCTATGCTTCAGTAATTTCCTCTCACTTGTTTGGTTTCATTTAGCTACCTTAGAATGATATAATACTGCAGGATTTTTTTCTTCAGTTCATTAAAAAAACCCCTATATATTCAGACACCATCTCATTGTACATTTCAGGATTCCTAAAGTCCATTAAAGTAACTATCTTCTGCTGATTATCATTCTCTCTACTTTATTATTTCCCCAACCTATGCTCCTTACTTCACCATGCTTCAATTTAAAGTTGTTCTCATTATATCTGTCAGTATGCCTTGTCAGGAACTCTTTTGCCATGACACTTGATTAGGATTTTTTATAGATTAGACAGAAAAGAGGTTCCATTTTGAACCCACTTGATGAAGAATTTGAGATTTTTCTCACATGTTCATCCCTTGGATGGAGTGCCAGTGCATTAAATGAGAATTAGGATATTGTAAAGACTAAGCTAATTTCCCATGCTCTTTTAATCTCTGTAAATGCTTTTAGAATTTTTCTCTGCAGTATCCATCCTTATGCCAAGAAACTGTTAGAAACCTTGAAGCATAGGGCTGCTAGCACCTTCAGGTAACAGCTTGAAGAGAACTGTGCACAACTGCATTTACCCAGTTATTAGTTCTAACTTGATTTAACAAGCAGAGATATAGCTTTTTAAATTCTTGATGAAGAATTGGAAGTTAAGTTTACTCGGCATGAAAAAAAGAAGGTTTTTATTCCAGAAATAGGTATCTGACTTGAGCTGTTTGAGCCTTTTTACTTCATGCAAGGTGCCTGGAGACATAATGTGGTCACATTCATACACTTGATATTGTTATAATATGATATAATTAATTTTGTTAACCACTCAGCTCAGAATCATTGATCCTCTAGGTTTAGTCAGGGTACTTTGAGTGCTAAGCATGAACTCTGCAGAACCTGTTGTGGATAGACTTTCTTATCCCTGGAAAAAAATACTGTAAGTGGCTGAAATTGATATTTGCAGTTGATATTTGCAAAGATATGGTCAGAAAAGTTTTAATTGTATGGCTTTAATTCCACAATATAGGAAGTCACAGCTAAAGACCATCTGCTGTAGCAGATAACAATGTACTGATGCTGTCAAATCTCAGGAGCACAGCAGGATTGCTGACCTGCAGAATACTAGATGAAAGCAGATGTAGTGACTCTGTCTGTGGCCTTTACAATCCCTTGCCTGCTGAAGTAATGTCTTTAGAAGACACAAAAGTTGAATACTCTGATGTCAAATCACTAGACAACTTCATTGTCATTATGCCATCTAGCTATCATGGTCTTTTAATCCCAGAAACCTGTTGTAATAAAGTTAAGTAGACACTCCTAATGCTTATTAGAAATGCATCTTCCTGAACCCGTGTTCTGCTCTCCTCTTCCCAGTCGTACACCTGCTAATACAGTGTTCATTTATCAGTTCAAATTACTTTCAAGCTGCATTTCCAAATTTTAGTAATATTATCAACAAATCCTCACGTACAGAAAAGATGTCTCCTATTGAACCTGGCAAATCTTATCTTTTTCATACTGTAATGGTTGACCACAGTAGTAATACCTCTAATTCAGTTAAAACCTTTATAGAGACAAATTTGTAAAAATTGCTTTTTCCCTATTTTTATAATGAGGTAGATTTACTGGACTGTAGCAGTTCTGCTTTTGTATTTGCTTCAGCTTTCAAAATTGTTTAAATCAAAAAAGTTAATAGCCTTCTGTCATAGTAAAAATTAAGTATTTAAGAAAATTAATTTAGAACAGGAAGCTTTATATATCTACTTTAATAAATGCAAAAATTCTGCATGTCCAAACATATTAACTGTGAAGTTTATTACAATATTTTAAGAATCAGCATTTCTTGAAAAAGAAAAAAATCAACTGAAGGATAAAGGAAAAACACTTTTAGAAAGGCAGCAGTATTTGTCGTGTCTTGAAGATTTACCTTTATATTTTACTTACTTGGTTTTGTTTTGGAATTAAGTTATAGGGATGCTAAAGGTTTAGTTACTTAATCTCATGGTTGATCCCCAGTCAACAACTAAAACACCCCACAGCTGTTTGCTCATTTTCTCTTGGTGGGATGAAGGGTAAAATGTGGGTTGAGTTAAAGACTTTTTAATAGGTAAAGCAACAGCTGCATACTCATGTAAAGCCAAATAACAAATCCATTCACACCTTCCCCTGAGCAGGCAGCTGTTTGGCCATCTTCAGGAAAGCAGGGCTCCATCACATATAGTGGTGACTTGGGAAGACAAACACTGTCACTTTGATTCTCTCTCTCTTCTTTTTTCCCCAGGTTTATGTGCTGAGCATGATACCATATGGTATCCCTCTGGTTATCTGAGGTCAGTTGTCCTGGCTGTGTCCTCTTCCACTGTTCTGCATCCCCAGCCTCCTTGATGGTGGGTGGTATAAGGAGCAGAAACTCTCAGTGCAGCTCAGCAGTGATGAAAGCATCCCTGTGTTATCAGCCCTGGTTACAGTGCAAATCCAAACACAGCCATAGGGGCTGCTACGAAGAAAATAAATGCTATCCTAGACAAAACCAGCACACTTATCCACTAGTGGAATAAATTTAATACTGAAAGGCTGCAACTGTACTGATGCTCACAACAGAAAACAGACAACTGTATTTCACTGCAGTTTCTTTTTCCATTCCACTTATAAATGTCAAAAATTATCATAAAGGAAAATTAGGAAATTGCATATTGATAAGTTCTTCACAAGCTCTAGGATTTTGTTTAGATTTGTTAAAATGAACTGTGGAAAAGAATTGCTTTCATTAATAAACGATTTTTCACAGGACCAAAGTCACCACAAGAAGCATATAATGTGTTTAATTTCACTGTTCATTGTATTCTGTTCACTATAGCAGTTATGGTGAGTCATTTGTGATAACTTGGACTATATTATTGCTTCAAGAATTCATTTTTAAAGACCACCACTCTCCTGAAAATTGCCAGTCTGCTTATGAACTGCTGTGAATCTTGTGATGTCTAGAATTGTAAAATCTAAAATTTGGAAATTCTCTTCAGGCTCAGCAGAAGGTATAATGCTGGAAAAAAGCACAAGGACCCTCTACTGAGCAAGTCTGGCCAGCATGTGTCCAATGGAATTCAATTTTCCAGAAAATATTGGGTGAATTAAATATCCGTCACATTATAAGACAAATATCCACATAAAACCATTCTATATTGCTCTTAAACAAAATACATGATTTTGCAGTAAAAGGACTCTTGCTTTTTTGTATTCTTTATTTAGTGAATTATTATTGTGTTTGGATTAACAATAATTATATAAATGACAGTAAAGTACCACTAACAATGGGGAAAAATAAATTAGAGACTCATGAAAAAGACTAGGCTGTTACTCTGAGTGTGCTGCCCACCATGATGATGGGGGAAGAGAGAAATCCTGGCAAATGGAAAACGTTTTGTGAACATCATTAAGACAACAACAAAAGCCTGTACACTTTAGACAGGTCTGTCCAACCTCAGTGCTTGTAAAGATCATGAAGAATTTCCTTTTGAAAAACACTTCCATATGTAAAATAAAGAAGGTGACCAGGTAAGACAAAACCTGGTAGCTAACCTGGTTGCTTTCAGCAGTGCATTGAGTGGCAATAGATAGAGTGAAAGAGCAATGAATAGAATACGTCTTGCAGTAGGATTTCTGAGATTTTTTTCTTTCAGCATGCTCATTTGGAAGTAGAGGAATTATGGGCTGAAGAATTGGATGGATAGAGATTCGGATGCATCACAAGGGTCTAAGTAATCAATGCCTTGATAGCCATTTGGAGGTTGGGAAAAGGGTGTTTCTGTGTTGATTACTGTGTTAATATTATACTGCATCATGAATAGCCACCTTGATGACAGGTTAAAATGCATCTTCATTTCAGCAAAATTGTAGGTGATGCTAAAATTGGAACAGCAAACACAGCAAGCTCTGAAGTTTCAGTCCAAACAGATCTTGACAAACTTAAGAGTGATAGACAGAATTCTGCAGGGAGAGACTGAGACAACTGGGCTTGTTTATTACAGTGACAAAGGTGCAAGCCAAATGGCAGATCACAGTTTCTTGACAGGGAGTTAAAGACATGGTGGAGTAAAGTGAAAGATGGTAAAGGCAGCATCTTGAAATTATTGAATGGGGTTCAGGCTGGACATTTTAAAAAAATGGCATTTCCACTAAGTAGTATAATGCTAGAACATGTAAGCCACAGAAATATTTAATCTCCTTTCTTGGAATAGCTTAATAGCTGAAAAATCAGGTTTCTGAAAGAAATGAACAACTAAAAGAACCAATATTTTTTTACCACTGGTAGAGATAAATATTATTAGAAAAGGATAATGTGATTCAGGACAGAGAACATAAGCAAAAAGAAATAGAAATGTATAAGAAAAGAAAGGTTATCCTAAGACACCCATCTTAATGCAGTTGAATGTGCTTGGGGAAATATAGGAAAGATGAGGGAGCGACATAAAAATTTATGAAAAATATTATCTTAGTGGTTATGTGAACTGGAGTGGGCTTAGTATGTCACAAGTTGTGTAAGTTGAAAATATCTTACATGTGTAGGACAAATAAAGGAAAGCAAACAGAAGGCAATCACAATCCTAGGAGTATATAGGGATTATTTGTTATCATCATAGCTGATAAATGAAGAAAACAGAAAATCCTGTAGAACAAGAAAGGACAAGTTCACTTTTGACATAAGAAAACAGCCTTCTGATGTGCTACAGCTGACAGAAAAAGATGTGAAAAAGATCACATATTTCTTAAAAGAAAAATAATATTTTTATGGTTTATACTTTGAAATTTCTAATGAGACTTAAAAAAAATATTTTTAGGCCTTCAGAGGTTTGCAAAAACATTTTTTCTTTCTTTTCTAATTACAGGAATTAAGCAAATTTATTAACTATGAAAAAACCTTCAGTTATTTGTCCTGCCAGTAAGTCTGTGATACTGTGAAGTATATAGATGAATTAAAATGATTCTATAGATTTTCTTCTTCTTTAAAATAACTTTAACTAAACAGAAGAAATTGAGGCTAATATATATATTATAATTTTCTGACTACATGTATATAGAGAGTCTTCTAATCTGATTGAGTAGACAGCTATGAGAATACTTCTTATTGTCACTGTGCAGTTTTAATGAGTAGTTTTAACAGAAATACATTTTTTAAACTTAGAGATACTTTTCATTTCCTTATTAATACATCTATTAATATTTTTCCATGTTACCTCTATTAATATTTGTCTTTTTTAATAAGTAAACTGCCATTGCAAAATAAGAACAGCATAGTTAATTAGTTTTGGTAAACTTTCTAATGGTTTTTTTTTTTTTGCATAGCAACTCTCGTGCCAACAACTTAAGCAATCAGAGCTGACAATCTCTATTCTAGTTGTGCCCATCAGAAAAATTCTCTTAGAATCTGTACATTTTATTTCCATTCATGCAAAAGCGAGGTAGCAGTTTTTATCCCTGTACACAGTGTATGATTATGAAAAATTCACAATGTAGACCAGAAAAGTTGAAAACTTTTAATATAGACTGATAAACTCATAAACAAATTAACTTACAATAGAATTTATGGTAGCAAGGGAAATAAGCTTGACCTTTTGGGTCCATAGTAATGTCATGTTATTAACAACTGCAAATAACTTAAGATTTTGAAGAGACCTGCAAAACTTACAAAATCTGATAAAATTTTCAATGTAAAGATAACATGACTTCTCTGTGCTGTGCTTTGCCTTTATTTTTGGTGTTTAGGTCTGAGAGATTTGTTCATTAACATTCCAAGTAAGTTTGCCATTGTATAAGCCTGGAAAGACATGTAGAGAATAGATAGAAGTACATATCTGTTATGAAGGATTTAAATGTTTCTTTTGGCTCTGCAGGTGGCCAAGCAGAGCATAAAGTGGTCAGAAAGTAGTAAAGAGTTTGGTACTATTTCAGCAACCAAGGAAACTCTTTCTTTGTGGTGTTTTGGAGTGAATATATCTTGAATATTGCATTTGATATTAGAAGCTACATTCCAAAAGAGATTTTGACAAACTGAATGGAGTTCTCAGGTCAAGTTTATAAAGCAGCAACCATCCCCCAACAAACCAAAACAGAAAGGAACCCCAAACCCTAGATCCAGGAGATGGAGGGATAGATTTCTGAGGAAAGATAATAGAAGAAAGTAGGTACATCTTGACTCAGTAATGAAAGGGGCAGGGAGGATTAGCATACTATAAATAGCCAATGGTTTGAAGTATTAAGCCAGAAAGTAATAATTTAGTGCAGGATGAGATGATTTATTTAGAATATTGGAATTAAAGAAAAGAAACTGTAAACTGAATGCCAGAACAACCATTGCAAAGTAGGTGTGTTGACCATCTGATTGGATTGAAATTACAATGCAATGGCAGTTGTTACACTACTAAGGTTTATTTTTAACCATGAATATTAAAAATACCATAGACATACATAACAACAGAAAGTTTGATTTTTGGTGATACTGTTTTATTTTATAATACAATAAATAATCCTGGCCTGTGTTATGGGGAGTGTTCACAGCTGGTTGAGGGAAGCGATCCTTTCTCTTTATGCTTTTTAATAAGTTCCTTTATCTGAATATTTTTTTAGCAAATTGCTGCCATGAATCTATACATGCTAAGGTGTTATGAGGAAGAATGAAGAAGAAAAGAGTAAAGGATAATAAGGAGAGTTTTGAAACATGAAAAGAGAGAGAATAAAAGCTGTTTGAATAGATCATTTGGATGTAAAAGTAGAGGTTAATATTGTCAGGGCCCTGATGACAATATCAGCCCTTACTGTCCTTGCTCAGCCTCACCTGGGGCCTCTCTGTGCCCCTGTGTGGGGCTCTGGACCCCAGTACAGCTTGCTGGGGCCTTCATTCTCTGTCCAGGGCTGGTGTCCAAGTCCCCAGAGCCCTGACCATCCCTGGACTAAGCCCACCTGCACGCCTGGAGTCTGTCCCTCCCCTCCCCAGCAAGGTGCTCCGTGGGGCACCTGGGGCTTCCCCCAGTGACCCTACTCCCTTCTGGCTTGGGCAGTGGGACAGGACTGCCTGCCCAGCCTGGGAATTCCCCAGGGCTCCCAGCTCCCACAGGGAACTGCTAGCTCACACCTCCTTATTAAGGAATATACTCAAGAGAGTAACTTGTAAGTGGGTGAGAAAGGATTCTTCTAAATCATAAGTCATTTGCCTCAGGGAAAAGAAAACTACTCTCAGCTGTTATTCAGCCCAGCTTCACAGACAGCTCTTTCTTGTAGAGAGGTGACACATTGAATGCTATTTTTCTATGACAAGTTAAAGTTTTCTGTGATTTTTTCAGAGTAAAATAGTATTTTATGCTAACATATTTTCTGTAAACTTGTAAGGACTTCTTGGAATGGAATTGCTTAAAAAAAAATGGTATGTTTTGATTCGTATGCATTAAATATACATATATATTGATAAGGTACTTGACAATAAGTTTACATTATTATTGCATTTACATTTGCAATGCTATTGTGCAAAAGTTGTAAGTTACAAGACCTTGAAAGTTTCCACAGCATTGGTAATTCAAATAAATTTTGAAATTTGCTATGGAATATATAGAAACCTCTCAGTGTTCTAACACTTGAATTTAAAATGGTTAAGATTATTAAAAACAAGTAAATAGTGCTTTAACATTATATTAATTTCATTTTTTTCCAGCTCTCTGAGAACTCTTCAATTTATTGCATTGAAACAGTGTCCTTTGAAAAAGACCTGATTATGTTGCCCTTGTAGTTCCAGAAGTCATATTTTAAAAAGGTCAAAATGCTTATCTTTATAAGAGAAAAGTCATAGCTACTTATTGGTCTTGAAGTTGTTTCCTCATCTGCTCCCCTGATGTTAATTTCAGTGCTTTGGCTTTCTTATTGTCTTTTTCTTATAAGCCTGAGGCATATGTTTCTGATGTACTTAATTCAAGACAATAAAAATCAAATCAAATAGAAATGAGCTCTTTGATCTTATAAATAAATTTCTGAATTAATCTTTTTCTTTTCTATAGTTTTTTAAAAAGACAGTGGTGCTTTTGATGTACTGACAGAGGAAATTGCCCCTTATATACATACCTCTGTTCTCATCTTCTTTTGGTCACCAAAAAAAAAAAAAAAAAAAAAAAAAAAAAAAAAAAAAAAAAAAAAAAAGCCAAACTTGGCCTTCTAAATGTCGATTACATTTCCA